AATTAGAAGGATTTGAAATACCCCCACCTTTCAGTATATTAAAGTGTAATTTTAATAATTTTTTTATTATTTTAATGAGAAATACAAAAACGATTTTTTTCTTGCATAATTCTTTTTTCATAAGCTTAATATTATAGGCAGGCGTTTGCTAATATAAAGTGTTTATAAAAACAAAAATGACAAGAAATATGTCTTAGTATTTTTTTAATTTTCAACAAAAAATAAGCGTAAAAAACTGGGAAAACTTTATTTCTTGAAAACAGACAGATAACATTTCATGAAAGTCTACAATAAGAATGTATCTTAATATGTTAGCAAAGTGAAATAAACAAATTGAAAATATATATATAAATGGAAAATATAAAATGCATTTAAAATTTTTTGAATTAAAAGATCCGAGCGGAAGAGTTATCCTTCTTTATTTTCCAAGGGTTGAAAAAACCTGGGTGCTATTTTAGAAATGATGAGCATTTTTTCCCAACCATAAAAAAATCGCACTTTGTAGTTTTCAACTTTGAGCGGTTTTGAAAACAATGCATGGACAATCGCTTTCCAGGACGTGTCTTGTTCAGAGCAATTGCATTCATCTGAACATTTTGGGACTATATACAACAGCTAGCTGATTTGTGACCAAACAGTTACTTCTTGAATTAAATAACAAAAAAGTCCAGCTCTGGTTAACGTGATAATTGATTGGTAATAATTCAGCACAATGTGAAGTAGTCGCACTTATCCATGCCTCACCGCACACAAGGTGCTGTACAGTTACTCAAACAATTGAAATACAGCTTTTGCTTAAAAGTGTTCAAAAGCAGCAATGTTGAAACTACCTTTTACAGGGGTTTGCTTTTTTAAATGTCCGTTGTACAATTATAAGTAAATTTATATACTTGCGATTTTTTGTCTGTTTTTACTTAAAATGCCGACTTGTGAGAACTTGCATTGAAATAGGCTTCAGAGTGTTCTTTTCAACGGTGTATCTACAAATTTTGACCCGATAATAAGCACTCAAAACAATACTTCAAACGGAAATACGTCATAACGTAGAGGTATCCCATACTACCTTAAAAAAAGTGTGTGTTTGGTTTAAATATAATTTTCCTAAATACTTGCTGTGGTAGATGACGAATGATTTATGAATTTCTTAGAAACAAAAAAATCACTTTTGCTAGTCAATGTCGAATGATTTGTCAATTCCTATGGCATTCTTTAGCAACTTAAATTTAGGTGTCAAAGATACATGTATATGCATTATTATTAGCACAAAACTATGACATATTTTAGAATGACCTGAATATATTTCCTCTAGACCCCTTAAATTTCAAAATGACCCCGGTTAGTGGCTCTAAATAACAGGGACATTTGCCCGCATCTGTTGTTTTACCTTCCCAGGCATTGTATAACAACTTTTTTTACGCTTATAAATAATTGAAATTAAATACAGGTACATTGATATTTTCAGAATTTCCCATATTTAACATGACAAGGATCACGTCAACACATTGCTGTAAAGATCGCTGTGTTTAAAGAGGTCTATATGCTGTTTGTTTGATAATTAAATGCATTAAAGTTGACAGTTTGTCAGTTATAATGCTATATTTTCTCACAATAAGCTAGCTTACAATTAAAAAAATTTATCTTCTTTTAGAAATATATGTATAAAAGTTCCCACAGGTAACAAGGACTTCCTGTGTATACTGTGTGTGTATAGGTATTAACACCATACACGATCAGCCTCTGGGAAAAACTTAGTCACTCCCCTCACTAGAGAAAACTGTTCGGTTAAAAATATCAGCCTTTAAAACTGGTAGCTGATGAGGCTACTAGTTCTAAAATGGTAGTGGCCCATACTGATTTTTAACAGCTGGTATTACAGGCACTTGTTTTCGTAATAAATTTTTCAACCCATAGTATGATGATAACACAAGGTATCCAACTCCATATTACATTGATTACCCCCCCCCCCCCCCCCTTCCCCAAAATTGAACTTATTTACACTTTCAGAGGAAATGCACTGGCAAACTGTTTATTACCATTGTCCTCTATGATAATTTATCTACACAACTATCTATGACATGTTTGTCTTATTTATTTTCTTTTATCTGTTAACAGTGTCAAAACTCTGCTCGCCGAGTGCAAAAGTCGACTTTCTTGTCTAGTCTAACTTTCAAGATAAATTTGTTGTAAAGTAATTAAAACTAATCTTTTAGTATATAATATAATTAAAACTAATTTGATATTGTATATTTAACAAGTAATCAAAACTAATTATATAAATACATATATATTGTATACGCAGCTAGGTTTAGGACTCCCATACTTACATCAGCCTATATGCAGAGCTTCTGGAAATCGATTATGACGTCACAATGAAACTGAACAAATAAATCCTAAATACTAATGTTTTCTTTTTCATACACACTCAAATACAGTCTTTTCTCATAAACATGATAAATATTGTAAACATAAATTGATGTGTAACTTATCATGTCATAATAACACTATTTGAATGTAGAATTTAAGCCACCTTGACCTTCCTGCACTGACTAAGATGACGTCACACCCTAGTTTGACAGACAGTTTCTCTGTACTTGAGGCGTAGATCAAGCTATTATTGTAGCTTGTAAATGTCAAATTAAATTAAGTGTGATCAGACCAAAACTAAGTCATATTTTTGAATGTATTAATCAATATTTTATAGTCTAATTAGGCCTAAAAAAAATTGTTTGCTTCCTGTAACATTTCCAAAAAATCAAGGGTCGGTAGGTTGGGATTTTTTTTTTTTTTTTTGCTTATGGATGAGAGGGTCAAACATCCCCAGACTGAATTAACCAGGTGTTATATATAAAGCGGACACCCAACATGGCTGCCTAGTGGCAGAAAACAAATTTCAATTCAAAAAGTTGTGGGTGGAAATTGTTGTTACAATAATGATTACTCTTTATATTTATGGTAAATGTTGACTAGGATGACATATTTTATATCTCAAATAAAGCTACAATTAATATTTTTTGAATAAATGGAATCAGCTGATCGATCGAACCAAAGAGCAAATGCAGATTTGGCAGAAAAAAAAATCCGCCTGGGGGTAATTTAAATGGGTCGGTCAGGTTACAGGAAACAAAGTTATTCTTTTTTTAGGCCTTAAATTGAAAATGTGTAGACCTTATATAAAGCCACAACAAGGCACATTTATACATTAACAATCTAGAGTAACAGGCACAGCCCCTCGAAAATCTCAAAAGTTCAACGATATCTTCACTATAATTTATGAATTTTTATACAAAGGTAGTAACATCCCTACTATTTTGAAAAGTGCCAGGAGCTGGTTGTGCGCTGTTGCTTTTTTCCGTATTTTACCATTATTTCAATGCATATTATGTCAATGTAGGAAGTTTATCAAAAATTTTACATAATTCTCAGGCATGGGGAAGTTGCTCCCAGCACTTTTCAGGTTAAGGAATTTGTCTTAAAGAAAACAAAATTAATTTCATAGTGAAAAGATATCCGTATATCGTTGTACTTTATGATCTTTGTAGCCATACATATTTTTTGTAATTTTAAACATGTCACTTGACAAACAGCTGATGTAAGTAAAGTTGCTTTGGCCGAACTAGGCAAAGACCTCATATATATGAGGGTTGTCCCAGAAAACACAAACTTTTTGTATATTTGAGAAACTATTCAACCAGAACTAATAATTTTTTGCAAGTTGTTGGAAAATGATATTTTCAGTATTATGACAAAATATTTTAGGCTTGTGATGTCATTAATATGTAAAAACGGCATTTAAAGGGTGTTAAATATCGGTGGTCTGCACACTGCAGTTTACTGACTTTTAAAAGTAGCATTGTCAATGAATTTTTCTTTACGGAAATATAATGTCACAAACTTTAACTCCATAAATACTCTTTGATCTAGCTGATATGCTTGTGTATGAAAATTCATTAATTTGATATCATTAATGACAAATATATGACGTTATATGCCAAAACACTTTTAATTAGATATTGTTAAAAATGGTGACGTTTAGTGATAATTTGGAGCACAAATTATTAAGCAGCACTGTCTTTAAAACGGGATAGGACTCTTGCCCATACGATGAAAGAGATATTAGTGCTGGAAGAGACATTTTGTAGACCAAAGAAATGAAGACAAAGCTCTGAGCTTTACGTCATAAGCCTAAGCCAAGGCCATTGTTAAACAATGCGAACTGTTACGTTTATTATCGGAATTGAGAAATTGTCTATTGAAAGAATTAATTCCACAATCTTTTAGCAACACATGCCGTATTTGAGATGCATTACTTGGTAAATAAAATAAAATTAAATACTGTGCCGAATTTATGCTTAAATAAACTAATTTTATCAGAAGCACATTTCCAGAAAAAATTCACAAAAATGTTGATCATGATCTATGCCAATTTTTTAACTTTACAGTATTAGTGAAACAAAAGATATTGAAAATGTTCACGTATTTCTGGGACAACCCTCCTACATATGCAAATAGTAGAATTCCCATTAATCAAAACTCATGCTGTAAAAAAAAATCAACACTATATTTATTTTCTCGGAATATTTTTAGGCGTATTATTTCCTGTGGGTATCCTTAACCTTGCTGCGTAATATTTTTTATTTGGATTTTTATATCTTTACAACAAATTGCAGAGTGTCATGTCTCACTAGGATGACAATTTTTTAGAGTAAAGAATAACATAATTTTCTTGCACTCTAAAATGTGTACGATAATTGAACAATATCATGCAGTGGCAGGGATTTTTATTACTCTTTCAAATTTATGAAACAAAAATTATTTTTGGAAAAATACATTGTGATTCGTATATTGTGACTACTATATTGTGATTGTTGCATAAAACCTGTATTGTTCCTGCAGTCCTAATATTTCATCATATATGTTATTTTGTTTATATGTAACTTTAAACTTTTTATTTATGGTTTTCATTATCATTTTACAAGCATTGATGCACCTGACAGCTTCCAAAGGCTTGGAAAGTACGTTAATGATGCAGCTATAGACAACCCCATCTTATGCATGTTATGAGAAGTTAAAAGTGTTTAACAACTACTCCAGGCTTTTTCTTTGCAAGAAGGGATATTGATAGAGGGAAGGAGATCAGATATGACTATGGTGATCCCATGCCCAATGGACAATCTTCCTTGGAGTTCATCACTCATCAGGTAAATATTTAGAATAATGGATTTTCAAATTTGATACGTTGCATCCTCTTTGTAGTGCTTTTTTTTTTTCAATTTTTTTTGAGAGGTCAAGAGATGAAAAATGTTTTACCCAACAGTGTTCCAAGTCACACTTACTTTCAGGTCACTAAATGAGGACCTAAAAAAAATTTTGGCCATAATTTCAGAATATTTCACTTGCCATAATGAAAATATTTTGTGAATAACACTAGTAAAACAAGGAACTAACACCCTGTATGTTTTATGTCTTTACTAAATCAAAGATGTAAGGTATTACTGTGACTATAAACAATTTGCTAGGTTTAAGGAAATATTTTTATTAATACAACCACCCTTATGGTTGTACATTACACAGAGGAACACAAGAAGACTGATACTAGAATTAAAATTTATTCAAAAGAAAATACCAAGTTTGACACTTATTGAGACAGGACTTTGCCAGCTGTTTGTCATGTTTACTTATTATTACATAGTACGTACCTAACCCATTAAACAGTCATTATTAATGCTGCCAAAACACTTAATTAGTTGTAATATGCAAGCAATTGACCAAATGTTTCAATAACAAGGTCAGGTTCTAAAAAGTTTATGACGTTTGGATGCCATTCTGTCAGGGACGTATAGTATAGGTCCGTGGTTCCATCAAACTGTATAAGTAGTCACTATTAAAGCATGCTGTCATAACATTACAACTTGATGATTAATGATTTTTTTTGCGGACAAACAGACAGATGGACACACAGGGCAAAAACTATATACCCCCGAATCTACGATTACAAGGGCACTAAAATTGATGTTCAGCAGATGCAAGTTTCTGAAGTTTACATCACCTACATTGAAATATATTAATTTGTGAACTTTTTTTCCAAGAATAGGAAAATAGCAATTGGTGAAAATGATGAATTAATTAAATTGATGGGGAAAAAACAACATCTTTTTGTGATCCATATTTTAGATAAGACCAAAAAAAAATAGTCTTGTTTCCTGCTACCAGCCTGAAAAAAAAAAATAGGGTAGGTAGGTAGGAAAATTATTTTATTTTATATTTTCATTTTATTTATTTTTTTCGACAACATTTTTTGGATATGAACTAATAAAAGATCAAATTAAACATGTCACAGGTCAATATTGTCTTTTAAAATCAAATTTCATGTCTTTTGACTAAACTCAAGTGGTATTCTATGAAAGTCCACATTTAAAACAAGAATTTCATGAAATGCTTGTTTTGTGTTAACACGGAAAACGATTATGGTGACAGAACGATGAAATTCCGGAAATTCTCGATTTTTTTCTTCCAAAATTTAAAAAAAACAAGACTATAATTTTTTTTTGGCCTAAATAAAGTAAATTATTGAAAATAATACCTCTAAGACAAGGTTAGAGTGATTATTATTATTGGATTACAAGATCACCTTGATATGAAATATATGGAGATAACGAACAGTATTCAAGCTCAAAAGTCCATTATACAATACAAAATAGGAACAGAGCAAACACGGACCTCCAAACATCAGAGGTGGGATCAGGTGCCATGGAGGAGTGAGCATCCCCTGCCGACCGGTCACACCCGCCGTGTGCTCCTTGTCATGATTGGGAAATAACCTAGGTTACACATATCCTTAAAGTTCTAAGTATTGAACAATTGCAGTAATTTATATGTATGGATGTTTTTTTTTAAAAAGAAATAATTTGCTTTGATAATCTCGATAAACAGGACATACTAGTAGAAAGTGATATTCATCCTTGACACAAGTATGACACAAAAAAACATTTCCAGTGGGCTCTGTTTGCTTTATTATATCCAGTTTCAATAGCTAAAAGGTGTGAAGATAATCTTAACTTTGATATACATTTTTGAAACTTAGTCAGAATTGAATTTCTTAAATAATACGGTAGGTAAAACCCATCAAGTAGATATTTATAGAAAGAACATTTCTGCGAACTTTGAAGTTTAGTATATTTCTTGTTTAGCCTGATCCAAGATCCTTTGATAAATTGTCATAATGGTCCTTACAATTAGGGTCTACCTAATAGGACTTCTCAGTTGATTGTACAATTTACACCTGGATGACCATTGCCCTTGCTGTTTAGTGTTATATAAAAAAACAATTAGTTTATTTGATACTTTTTATTAATTTATTTTATGTTAAAAACATATATTTAATAGCATGTTAAATTTCTATTCAAAATGCATCGAAATAGCTTACATTAAAGGTATCTGAATGTAGTTGCAGGCATAAATATAATCACAATTAATTTTGTTTTGCACATATATTATAGGAAGCATTTTGGAGGCAAACCCTGTTGCAGCATTTCTACATGTTCCACAGATTGTACAGACTAGTCAGGACCTTGTAAATTCACATGTTCAACAGCTTAGGCAATTTAGTACATGTATGTGTAACTCTTCTGAAATATAGGAGGAAATTTCAATACAAGACTTGTAGCATAACTTATATTACATTGTCAGTTCTTCTTTGCATGTTCCTTAGAGTGGATTATTGAGGCAGACCCTGATGGAAAACTTGCACATGTTCCACAAACCAGTGAAGACCATTTTGCAGAATATAAACTTTTTCCGCAGATAAGCCAAGACCCTAATGGTGTTCATGTGTGTGTGGTTAATTATTTGCTCTGAAGCTGATATGTGGACTGAATATAAAACTGTCTTTTTCTACAGTTAAGTCCATCTTAATCTGAAAATACTACCGGTACATTTTGAATTATGCTTTATTATGCAGAAAAAAAAAATAATTAGTTTCAAATATGAAAAGTCTGTTGATACACTGCGTTGCAATTCCAAAAGTGATAATGTGATAAGTTTTGATGTGAATATGTGACATGTGCCATTATCAATTTTCATAAATAAAATCAAATACAAAGGCCATTCCAATTTAATGTTTTGCTTGTCGGACCCGCATGCTCTTATTTGAACAAAGCTATACAAATAATTTAAATCTCCTGCACCAGGGAAATTGTGTGCTAGTTTCTGTTTTATTTCCGCTCTATTTTTGATAATTTAAATCTGTTTACTCTACAAATCAGAAAAAAGTAGAAAAAATATAATTGTCACTCAATTTTTTTCATGTTATGCCTAAAAATTTTGCGTACAAAAAAGTAATAATATTATTATTTAATCTCTTGCCCGCTCTTACTTTTTTCACCAGATGTGCGACGAACAAGAAATTAAATTCGCGTGGTGAAATTATGTTTTATTAAAACTCATTTATGCAATAAATGATAAATAAAGACTAAACAGTCATGTTCACAAGTCAGAGGTGTTAAAATATATATCTATTCTATAGGAAAAAAAAGAATTATAAAGTGACATCAATTTTTCAAGTAATGTCTGTCTAGAACCTGTACACATGTACATCAGATTTCGTATTTTGTGCGATTTTTTGAAGGATTTTTACACTAACAAAGTTAATAAAATCAAATCTTAGTTCTAAAATTTAATAATTTATTTTTAGATTGTCAAAATGCTTGTTAATTATAGTATCAAAGCTTGAATTATATATCAATATTCTCCAGGAGGTAAATATTTCTATATATTGGTATATTGGTTGTCCCATAGTTTGTGTATAGTTTGTTGGTCATTATCATATCGGTTCAACTTCATGGATTGTGGGTCACGGTTATTTATTGTTCTAACATTTTACAATTTTTTTTCTGTAGTTTGTTTATGTATTTTTGTATCATTTGTGTATATGCATACATGTATATGATTTTTCATGGTTTGTGGATTACTGTCATATTTACATGCATGTGTCTGTTCATGGTGGATTGTGGGTCACTGTCATAGATTGTTTGTTCTTACATTTTTCCTGTAGTTTGTTCATGACTTTTTTATGTCTTTGTGTATAGACATTTGTGTATATGCATACATATATATGAAAATGTTCATGGTTTGTTGATCACTGTCATGTAAATAAGTGTTTGTGTCTGTTCATGGGTTGTGGGTCACTGTCATATATTTTTTCCAGTAGTTTGTTCATGACTTTTTGTGTCTTTGAGTTAAGACATTTGTGTATAGGCATACATATATATAAAAATGTTCATAGTTTGTGGATCACTGTCATATATATACATGTATGTGTCTGTTCATGGATTGTGGGTCACTGTCATAGATTGTTTGTTCTATCATGGATTGTAGGTCATTGTCATAAGTTGTTTGTTCTAATATTTTGCCTGTAGTTTGTTCATTACCTTTTTGTGTCTTTGGGTTAAGACAGTTGTGTACATGCTTACATATAAATGAAAATGTTCATGGTTTGTTGATCACTGTCATATATAAGTGTTTGTATCTGTTCATGGGTTGTGGGTCACTGTCATAGATTGTTTGTTCTAACATTTTTCCTGTAGTTTGTTCATGACTTTTTGTGTCCTTGAGTTAAGACATTTGTGTATATGCATACATATATATAAAAATGTTCATGGTTTGTTGATCACTGTCATATATACGTGTATGTGTCTGTTCATGGGTTATGGGTCACTGTCATAGATTGTTTGTTGTAATATTTTACCTGTAGTTTGTTCATGACTTTTTTGTGTCATTGAGTTAAGACAGTTGTGTACATGCATACATATATGCATACATTTGTGTATATGCATACATATATGAAAATGTTCATGGTTTGTGGATCACTGTCATATATATACATGTATGTGTCTGTTCATGGATTGTGGGTCACTGTCATAGATTGTTTGTTCTATCATGGATTGTAGGTTGTTCTAATATTTTGCCTGTAGTTTGTTCATGACTTTTTTGTGTCTTTGAGTTAAGACAGTTATGTACATGAATACATATATATAAAAATGTTCATGGTTTGTTGATCACTGTCATATATAAGTGTTTGTGTCTGTTCATGGTTTGTGGGTCACTGTCATAGATTGTTTGTTCTAACATTTTTCCTTTATTTTGTTCATGACTTTTTGTGCCTTTGAGTAAAGACATTTGTGTATATTCATACATATATATAAAAATGTTCATGGTTTGTTGATCACTGTCATATATACGTGTATGTGTCTGTTCATGGGTTATGGGTCACTGTCATAGATTGTTTGTTGTAATATTTTACCTGTAGTTTGTTCATGACTTTTTGTGTCCTCGAGTAAAGACATTTGTGTATATGCATACATATATGAAAATGTTCATAGTTTGTGCATCACTGTCATATATATACATGTATGAGTCTGTTCATGGATTGTGGGTCACTGTCATAGATTGTTTGTTCTATCATGGATTGTAGGTCATTGTCGTAGGTTGTTTGTTCTAATATTTTGCCTGTAGTTTGTTCATGACTTTTTTGTGTCTTTGAGTTAAGACAGTTGTGTACATGAATACATATATATGAAAATGTTCATGGTTTGTTGATCACTGTCATATATAAGTGTTTGTGTCTGTTCATGGTTTGTGGGTCACTGTCATAGATTGTTTGTTCTAACATTTTTCCTTTATTTTTTTCATGACTTTTTGTGCCTTTGAGTAAAGACATCTGTGTATATGCATACATATATATAAAAATGTTCATGCTTTGTTGAACACTGTCATATATACATGTATGTGTCTGTTCATGGATTGTGAGTCACTGTCATAGAATGTTTGTTCAAAACATTGTAGAAGTTTGGTTATGGCAGTTCAATTATGCATGTGTTTATGGTTTCTTGATCACTGAGTAATCATTACTTTCATAGAATGTGATTCACTGTTTTAAGATTTTTTGTATTAGAATGTGCCTGATTATGGTTTTTGGATCAGTATCAGTTTAAATATATGATATAGATATTTGTCTGTTCGTGTTTGTGGGTCACTGTTGTAAAATACTTGATTGTGAATACTATTATGTGTGTTTTCCTCACTGAGAAATAAATACATAATCTTTAACTGATAAAAGTGTTACCTTATCAGTGTTATCTTACCCCTGCAAATGAAGAGCCTGGGCCTAAAATAATTTTTTTCAGCTGCCTAGTGACCCACTGAAAATGCACCTGACCCAAACTTTTCCAGCTATTTTGTATTATTTTTTTTAAGCTCCAAGCTTTCAGGATAGTGAAACTGCATGTTTCATTTTCGATTTTTGGTATTATCAATCAGTGACTTATAACAAGAGGAGCTTATGTTAAGTAAGCCTATTTTTGTTAGTTAAAACATATTTGAAAACTACATTTTCTTACAAAAATAAAAAAAATACCGCCCATTCTAAAAATTTAGGTTGACAACTGCAAACCAAGAATTTTTTAAGCTTGGCCCTGGTATATAGGAATTGCCTTGTCTGTCTGTTAATGTTATGAGGAGGGATTGCCATGTCATGGCCATAACTTTGAAAAAAACATTTATATGGCTTCTGCTTATATCTTACACAGAGATGGACATGACCATGGGTTTGTCATGACCTTGACCTGGTATTACTTGAACACAGTCTCCAGAGAAAATATTTTGTGTTATGACTTTTATCAGGTATTATTTAGACAAGGTCACAAGGAGAAAAATGTTGGAATTCTGGTGTGAGCCATAGCTGTATCAGAGAGAAGAATCTAACTAGACACAGAGTTTACTTAAAACCTAATGCTGTGTCAATCAGATCATTTTCATTTGATAAGGGTCGGGGTGGGATGTGATAAACTGTGTGTGGGCCATTTTTGTGTTACAGAAATTTAAGAATCTTATGGACACCATAGTTGCTTGTGATTTGAGGGTTAGTCCTGCACCTGACACGAGTCAACTAGACGTGCAGAACGTCAGTTTGGGGAATTGTATGGGGGTCATCAACTTTTTTCAAATTGTATTTTTTTTTTACCATAATATTCTGAATTCTATTGTCTCTATATTTTTTCAGAGATTTTTTTTTGAAAGGGGAAAAATCATGAAATTCAATTGATTTCTTTGACTACTTTAGTTAATTTTCTACTTAGTTAATTAAAGTAGTCAAAGAAATCAATTGAATTTCATGATTTTTTCCCCTTTCAAAAGAAAAAATCTTCAAAAAAATATAGAGACAATAGAATTCAGAATACGGTAGATGTAGGGGTCGAAATGTGACAGAGTATCGCATTTGTCTTTAGGAAAATGGAGCAATTATGATTTTTCTATACCGTGAAAATTTCTCTCTCTCTCTCTCATATTCATCTATCTAACTATTGAGAACATGTACGAAACAATGGTTGACTCATTCATTTAATAGCAAGAAAAATAAACCTTAGTCCTCAGGGCTCTAATTGGCGACTAATTTAGTCGCCGTGGGGCTTAAAATATTTGATTGAAGCCTAAAATTTTCTATAAATCGCGAAATTGGCGACCATTATAAACTGACTTGGCGATTCTCAAATTTCGGAACTATCAACATGTTCAACCTTTCTTTCTGAAGAGGAGAAAAGATAATTCAAATTTAGCAATGGGCATGCCTTGCGTTTTCTTTGTCAACTTGTTTGTTGTTCTTTTAGTCACGCACTTGTGAACGAAATTTCGCATCGCATCAGTGCACATACTGCTCATGTCAAGTAAAAAATTAATCCTTAGATTTGTGTTAAGACGTGTCTAAGGATATTTTTTAGGACATACATGTATCGTAGGAATATCTTAAGATACGTCTTAGTGTGTAAACCAAAAACGTCATAGGAATATCTTAAGGTCAAGATCTAGTAAATGAGTTTAGACTGTCTATTTGGTGCTAGATCCATTATGACGTCATAATTGATTTAAACTTAATTTTTCTCGTACTTTACGGCTATTATAGAATTACGTAGAAAATGAAACATTTTCATGGAATTCAATTTGAAATCATGTCAAAATTAACCCCGATACCTATATTCATATTAATATCATTTTAAAGAAGAGGTCCAGAAGATGTGAAAAACTGTTTTCTGAGAGACTGTAGGCAATATTGA